TTTTTTTCATTATTTTTTAAGGAAAATTAATGAAAAGGGCTTCACAACTTTGAATCTTAACCAAAAACCACCTACTAATTTTATTTAATGGTTAGGACAAACCCAACATTAAATCAGCCTAATAAAACTGATCCAAAGAATGAGTTTTCAATTATACCCTGACAACAACTTCTCCCGTTTATTTAATCCGTTTCACTTCAGACGAAATAAAAAATGCTTTTGTACGGTTTCTACAAGTTTCTACATATCTCATGTTATTTTCTCTTTGCTATTTTCTCAATTTATAATTCTGATCTGATCATCGATAATGAAGATGACATCACCCTTGTGATCCATGAGGAAGCCAAGACCAAGAAGTGTTCGAGAAGTTCGCGATGCTCCCGACCAGTCTTCCTTTGATAAATGGAGGTTCGAGCGAGTGCTGCAATCATCAGAGATGGCTTAAAGATGGACTCCAAGAGGTACCTCTAACATTGGTTTCGAATTTGTGAAAAAATGTGGATTTGTATTTCCCAGAAACAAATTACAATACAATTTTCTTTTTTCCTTCCATATCTTTGCCCGCAAAAGATAAATTGGATTATTAATTGGTTATTAGCATTTGGGTGCGAAATATATTGCTTGAAATCTTGAAAATCTGCTGCTAAATATTGGACAAATTCCAGAATTATTATTCTGTTTTTTTCTTTGTTTATGGTAGTTAACTTAATTTTTTCATATATTTTTTTGTTATAATTATTGGTTCTTAAAAATTTAGGTTGGGTCCGTCACCATTGGTGGATTCCGTGCACTAAACGTCACTTTTTTAGCACCGTTAGTGGGTTAGAGGCTGCTGCCACCGCCGGCAGGCAATGCTTTCTACTGTTTTGTTTTTGTGGGCTGTGCAATGTCAATGAGATTGGGAGATGCTTCTCCAGATTATTAGAAGAACCAAATTGAACTATACTTAATTATAGGATTATGTTTGTACTGCTCTCTCTCCCACATTTATTTTGTTTTGACATTATAATCATTATAATCATTTTTGTTAAAAAAAAAATTTCTCTATTTATTTTCTGCATATTTGGGGTCTTCTAGTTTTGATTATGTTGACTATTTCTAGCCTTTTGCAATATTTTACTCATATCTTTTTCAAGTGAGTTTTTAAGAAGATGAAATGATTAAGTGTTTAGTTTACGAAACAGTGATAGTACTAGTGTTCGTTTGATAAATAGTCAGTGTTTAGTTTACGAAATAGTGATAGTACTAGTGTTCGTTTGATAAATAGTCAATGTTTAGTTTACGAAACAGTGATAGTACTAGTGTTCTGTTTAAGAAATAGTCAGTGTTTAGTTTACGAAACAATGATAGTACTAGTGTTCGTCTGATAAATAGTCAATGTTTAGTTTACGAAACAGTGATAGTACTAGTGTTCCATTTAAGAAATAGTCAGTGTTTAGTTTACGAAACAATTATAGTACTAGTGTTCCGTTTAAGAAATAGTCAGTGTTTAGTTTAAAAATTAGTGATAGCGCAATTTAAGAAATAGTGATGGTACTCTTGTTCAATTTGAAAAATGGTTAGAATTTAGTTTAAGAAATAATGATAGAGCAAGTTTTCAATTTAATAAATAGTCATTTTTCAGTTCTAGAAATAATCAGTATTTAGTTTAAGAAATAGTGACAGTACATGTGTTTAATTCTAAAAATAGTTAGTGTTTAGCTTAAAAAATAATTAGTATTCAGTTTAAGAAATAGTAATAATATTAGTGTTAAGTTTAAGAAATAATGATAATACGCGTGTTCAGTATACAAAATAGTGAGTATTCAGTTTAAGAAATAGTGATAATACCAGTGCTCAGTTTACGAAATAGTTAGTGTTCAATTTAAGAATAGTGATAGTACCAGTGCTCAGTTTAAAAAATAGTGATAGAGCTAGTGTTCAGTTTAAGAAATAATAATAGTAGTGTTCTACTTAAGATATAGTAACGGTACCCCTATCCAATTCGAGAAATAGTTAGTGTTCAATGTTTATAATTGATAATTTTGTTTACTTGGGGAAATATTGTAGCTATTTGATCTTTTTTTTTCTTTTTTTTACTTGAAGATGTAAAGTATCAAATTGTTAGTATGATATCAATGCATTTTTTGTTGATTTGTTGTTGTTGCTGGGACAGAACAAAGCCACAAGCAACACTTCCGGTAAAGGCAGATAATAAGGAGAAGGTGGTGGTGTTGAAAACACCCGAGGCGGTGAAAATACCGAAGCTTTACGGGCAAATCTACAAGACCATTGTTTTATCCATCAAGAGTTGAGACCCCACTGGCAAATCTACAAAGTCTCAAAAACTAAAAATGAAACTGGGATAATTTCCAATGGAAGTGGCTCCTGCATTCTAAGAAAGTGGGTTCTATGTGGTAAGCAAAATTAAGGGTGAAAATTGATCAACAAAAGAATCTAAACCACCTAATTACAAATAAGTGATCAATTAATAAAATAATATTAAAATATATATAATAAAAAAGGTAATTGGGGAAGCAATTGCTCCCATTTTCTTTAAACGTGCAAAATGGTTTGAGGATGTGGCCACTCTCCATCACCCACGATGAGTTTTACCTCCGTTTCAGGAGGAAGGCGGACGACAAGAAGAAAAAAAAACCAAAACCTGAAGGGGGAACGAACAGCCACAAGAAATAAGAAAGAAAGAAAGAACTGGCTGACATAATGGCATACTTGTAAATAAGGGAAAGTTTATTTCTAACAGATTTGGCTGACAGAATAGCATCGCTGTTAGGGGCAAAGGTGGAAAAAAAAATCATTTCGTTTTGGGCTTTTAGTTCAGCCTGTGTGTGTTAAATGTTTGTGGGTCTAATATAAATTAGTTTTGTCCTTATGATTAAATATGAAGCCCTTTTGGTTAAATAATAGTATAGGGTGGTTTTTTATTAAAATAAACTTAGTTCAAGCCCTTTTCATTAAAACTCCCTATTTTTTATTGAACATACACTTATATATTAAAAAGGGTAAGCATACTACTATACTAAAATTAATCAAATTTATACATAGGCATATACCATTCTTCTTTGGAGTATAGGCATATACCAAATATTAAGAAAGAACAATAAATTGCATGTACGAAAAAGTTAGAGAACATTAAAAAACATATAGAATATATGAGTTTCGAATTATGTTATAAAGTTTTTGAGTTTACTCTGATGATTGATTTTAATCGGAATCAAAATACGAAACTGAATTTTGGTTATGGGATACTTTGGTATTTACTAAATATTAAGGAATTAAAAAGTTGGTTCCCATGCAAATTTTTGAACTCTAAAATTTGAAAAAATTGGATTCCCTATATTTATGTAGTATTCAGATCCGAGAACAAAGAAGAAATCAAGAATCCACTTTTTGTACCTATTATACCCTCACATAATCTCTAAATCCCACACTTGCCCTTCACTTTAACCCTACAGCAGTTTCCGCGTTCGTTCTTCCTCCTCTGCGCGTTCTCCGAACAACTGTCTCCGTCCACCACTAGCAACCCCCTCAGTTGTACCTTCCCCCACCACATGCAATTAGAAGATTCTCAACGTGCAGAACTTCTAGTGGAGCCAAAATACTATCAGCTACTACGATTTTTTTTACAATAGTCCAGACTGCTAGGGAGTTCGAAAGAAGAATTAAATAAGACAACAGGTAAGCGGTTGAATTACGGTCCTACCTCTTTCATGCAGCCATCCCATCTTCACCGCCAAAGCTCGTCGTCGTTATTCAATCTGGCCTGGATTCGAACGTCGAGAGTTTCATAGGCATGCTCTCCCCTTCGATATCCAGTCTGCATTCAACGTGAGGGAGCACCGGAGCAGGTGGTGATGGTGGTTGTCTGTGCATCTGCGGGAGAGGTTTTTAGAAGATTCTCAATATTCAGAACTTCTAAAGGAGGCAATATTCAGAACTTCTAAAGGAGGCAAAATATACTGTCAACTACACGGGTTGATAGATGGATTACAAGACCTTTTGAATAAGAGCAAATTAAGGTTTAAACTCCGATGTCACTCGTGCTGATATTATAAAGTACTATCTACCTGGGAAAATCATCAAGCTTCGAGGTCTACTAATCTTTCTGGCATTGATCTCTCTGGATTGAATCTATGGAAAGTAGACTTCAGCAATCCATGCATGAGAAATGTTCTTCTCTCAAATGCATTTCTTGAAGGGGCTATGTTCTAGAACGTGGATGCTGATGAAGGTGCTATTTTTGGCCATGCAAATTTGTTTAATTCCAATTTTGCTGGGGCAAATCTACGAGGAGCTTCTTTTGTGGGTGCTAAAGGTTACCTTGCTCATGCATCATGTGTGAAAGATTGTAGGAAAATGAGGATTACGATGGATTTGCTCAATGTTCTATTTAATTAATTTAAGAAAAACTAACCAAAAAAATCCAAAACAAAACTTTAGTTTCAATGAAAAATGACAAATAAAGGTGTAAATGAATAGTACCAGCAAATGTAAAAATGTCATTTTTCGTTAAAAGTGAACACTACCGGGAGTATTTCGTTAAAACTCTCATTATTTTATGGGTGGAGTTTATTTTGCTGGGTAAAAGATATTACTTTTGACATTTATTTGTTTGTAAAATGATGTGTTTTTTAAGTTTTTATTCACAGTATAGTGCACGAATTGTATTTGGTCAGAAAAATTTGTTCCCCAAATTTGAGAGCCAAGTGATAGAATACAATCCTAATTAGGATTCCTTGTTTCACGAATAAATTTAAATAATTGTATTGTAATTAGATTTCCTTCCTACCTAGGAATCCTAATTCTTATACACCAAAGGCTTGTGGATTGTATATGAGGGGGTTTAACCTATGAATGAAATTATCCCATTCAATTTACTATTTTTACATGGTGTCGGAGCCTAGGGCAGGGCAAATAGTATTTTCCGGCAGTTCCGTCTAGGTTAAGGCTTGCATATTGGCATATTGCCAACTCACTCGTCAGTTTATCTCTCTCAAAGTTTCGAAGCCATGGCAGATGGCTATGACTCTTCATCCTTGGTTCACCTCAATGTTGGAGGAAGAAAGTTTTCCACCACTGTTGGTACTCTAACTCAGCGCGAGCCTGATTCGATGCTAGCTGCAATGTTTAGTGGCCGTCACACTTTACGCCAAGATAAGAAGGGATATGTTTTTATCGATAGGGATGGTAAGCTTTTTCGGCACATCCTTAATTGGTTAAGAGACGGTGATATTCCTAAACTGGAAGATACCCAATATGCAGAACTTCTTAAGGAGGCAAAATACTATCAACTAGTTGGGTTGACAGATGAATTACAAGGTGAACTTCTGCATAGGAGCAAAGGTGAAAGTCTAAACTCAGATGTAACACGCGCTGATATCATGAAGTACTATATACGCGGGCAGCACATCAATCTTCGAGGTGTTAATCTTTCTGGCATTGATCTCTCTGGATTGAATTTATCGAAAGTCGACTTCAGCTATTTGTGCATGAGATATGTTCGTTTCTCAAATGCAGATATTCGGGATGCTAAGTTTAATTATGTAGATGCTGAGGGTGCTACTTTTGACAATGCCGATTTGTGGGATTCTACTTTTTATGGAGCAAATCTACGAGGAGCTTCTTTTGTGGGGAGTAAAGGGTACAGACTCTTTGGGGCATCTTGCGTGGAAGATTGTAGCTGCTGAAAGAGATCCTTGACAATGCTGATTTATGTTAGAAATGCTTCAAGGAAGCTAGATTAATCAATTTTTTGTTCTATTTATTTTGATTTATCGTAATTGCAATGGGATGATCTCTGTGTATTTCATGCGTGGAATTTACCTAATGATTATCAATGGATTAAGTTTTGCAGAGTAAAATTCTTTATTTTAAGTTTGTTTTGAAGTGTTTTTTAAATAATTGAAAGCATTTTTCTTAGTAAAAATTTAAATAAATCCTTGAAAAACACTCGCAAGAAGCATTCGTTAGAAGCACTACTTTAAAAATTAAAAAATAATTTCACCAAAAGTGTCTTTAGTTATTTAAAATTATTTCTAAAAACGAACTATTATTTCTACTTAGAGCATCGCTATTTTATAAGTTCATTATTATAGATAGTTCTTTGAAATGATCTTACTAACGACATATACAGTACTTAAATTTTCTGATATAAATGCTATATAGTTGGTTCTCATTCTTCACAAAACATAAGTGTATAGAAGCATACGTCGATGAAATGATCACCCTAAGGTCCTTCTAGCTCTATAAAATGGTACCCTTGTAGTCGGGTTTTGGATCCGATTATTGGGGTATGGGCTTGGAGCCTTGAATGACCCAATACTAAAGTGTTGGGTAGTAACAACTGGACCTGAAAGCCCAAATTCAACAATTTTCTTCCTTCATTTTTTTACCAAACTCAAGATTTTATAATTTCCGAGTTGAAAATTAGTTAAAATACGCCATTACCGATTTTATATAATTTAATTTTCATCCTTTTATTTTAGGAAACTTCAACGAAAAGCTCTCGGTACTGTTCACTTTAACGAAAAACCATATTTTTACACTAAAAAGTCAATCATGTTACTATTCATTTTACCCTTTATTTTGTCCTTATCATTAAAACTCAAAATTTTCAAGCCATTTTCATTAGTTTTCTTTTTATTTTTTATTTTATTCCTCTCCTTCCCAAAATGTAAGTACCTAAAAAAATCAAAATTTCTGAGTTTCCAAAAAAATAAAAAAGAAGAAGCTGCTGATCACAAAAAATTGACTGATAAACAAGCTCGGGTTCCATTTCTTGGAAAAAGGGGGAGAAAAAATGGAGGGAGCCAGGGTTCTGAGATTGTGAGTGGGAATTTGACGCAGATCCGCTATTGAATACTCCGATGACACAAATTGGGAGTTGGGTTTGAATGAATCGAATTCGAAATTCTTAAATTCCAGAAAGTAAAGGTCGGAATTTCAGCGGTTATTCCCCCATAAAGACCGAATCTGTTCTTGGAAGCTTTGAATCTTTGAATCTTGGGTATGACAATTTGCGAGGATCAGAACAAAGGGTTGTGATTTTTCGGTGTTTCGATTTGTACGAACAGCTGGTGATTGGTGGGTAACCGCCATTTGAGCTCAATTCTGTGGATTTGCAAGGTATCTGAAACCCCCAAGAACCCTAATTTCAGCGATGCGCTGAATTTCTGAGGATAATTTGTAGAAATAACTTGTATTTGATTTGTGTAGACACAATTAAAATATGCATGCCCGGAATCGGAATCCAGGAAATGGGTACAGGTCCAATTCCATGGGCATGGGGATGAGCATGGCTCCCAACTCTCGGATCTCCCCGGAGGGTTCTATGAGGGGGCATGGCTTTTACAGCACCGAACACCGCAATTTCAATCGGGGTTTTGGCCGCCCGAAGTCTTTCCAACCGCCTCCAGCTCCGCCACCGCCTCCACCTCCTCCACCCCGGAAAGGCGATATTTTTATGGAGGCGGGGCGCCTCGCGGCGGAGTATTTGGTAGCTCAGGGACTGCTGCCTCCAAATGTGCTGTCTGCCAAATGGCAGAACTCCAAGAAGCAAGTGGGGGAGTTTCAGGAGGCTGATCAGTTGCAAATTGCAGCAGAGGGCCGGACTTCAGCTCTTGCCCGGTTGGGGAATTCGGTTTCGGATGGAGGTTCTAGAAGGGGAAGATTTGGTGTTGATGAATTCTGCAGCAATGCAAGGAATCAGTTCAAGGGAAGGAGGAGAAATGCGGCTGGATCAAATAGGGGCGCTTATGGTTCCGACTGGGGCCAAGACTATGGGAGGGGTGGTTCGTTCACTGATAGGCACAGTAGGGCTTCCTCTGATATGGAGGGGGATGAAGGTTCTGTATCTGGACAGCATGAGGAGCAGAAGCTCAGTAAAGATGGTTGTAATAATGGGTTGCAACAGAACTCCAGTCCAAGTGAGTTGGGGCCGAAGAGTGAGGATGCAGTGGATTCAGAATCTAAATTGGACAAGAGTCAAAACCACGATGAGGATATGAGCTCAAAGCCAAGTTCTTCTGGTGCTTGGAAAGATGGTCCAATTGAAACCGATGAAGTTGGTGAGGAACCCTCCAAGGTATCTGATATAGAGATGAAGGATCAAGATTCTGCTACCAGTTATGAAACCGAGAAACATAATGTATTGGAGAACTTACCGATTCAGCTTAGTGTTTCGGAGGCTGAGGTTGAGGGTGATTCCTCAGGAAAGAATGGTACTGATTTGCTGACACTCTCCAAATTTGCCAAGGTGCCCACCAGAATCCGCTCGTCGTTGACTTCTAGGGGTCCAAAGGTTGATCCAGTTACAAATATCCAGGTGGGGAGCACCTCTGACATTGCTGTCCAACCAGAAGATTGTCAAACTTTAGTTGAAAGCGGTTCTCTTGATGTTCCCACAGGTGCCACTCTATCAGATAAAACTCCTCATGATAATGATCTCAACCCCGAAACTTCTAAACCTCAGTCCAGTCAGTCGGCTGAAATTTTAGTAGAATTAGATCCTGAATATGGTATCGAGCAAAACAAATATGGAAGATCTCAGTCTTTGCCAGGTAGAGCTTTTGTTCGTGAAAACGAGCAAGAATCAAGTCAGGGACCAGTAGGGTTTAGGAGTTCCAGCTTTGTAGTTAAAGAAAGAGTTGAGAAAAGAGCTTTAGAAGTACACGATAACCTGGAGGGAGCCAAAAAGCCGAGACAATGGCTTCCTTACATGGTTGCGGACACAGATGAGTGTTTCCAACTTTCTAACTTGGGTGAAACGAAAGAAAGTTCAAAGGAAGAAAGCGATTCTGCTGATGAGCAGGTAATTATAGCTAATGATCATGAGAGGTCGGTAATGAATGATTCCCTTTTCCAAAAAAATGGAAGTGAAGCCTGTATCGAGTATGTGCAAGAAAAGCAGCTTTTTCCAAATTCATTCAAGATCTGCGACCTTAATCTCATGGATGCACATGAGAATCGTGATAGTGATCGTGCAATAGATTATCCAACTGTTTCTGGAATAAAGAAAGAAGCAGAAACTGTTGATATTGATTTGTCAATGAGTAACTCAAACGTGTCTGGTGAAAACAGTAGACGGACTATCGATGTTAAAGAGATTGAAATCATAGATTTAGAAAATGACTCCATCCAAGAAGATAAGACCTTCAACAATACCGAAAGAAAGTAAGTTTTTCCTAGCTGCATTCCAGTTCATGATTATTGATTTAGTTCTCCCTTCAGTATAAGTTTTTTCTGGGTGTGTCAAGTAAAGCTGCTAGTAGTTTGTACTTTTATATTTCTTTCTTAGTTTCTTTTACATGTATTTATGTTTCTGTTTTCATGTTGTTCAATATACAGGACAGAGGCTGAATTTACTCCTCTAGATGGCTTTACCAACCATGCGCAGAATCCTAATGATATCCCTGATGTTCAAGATGGTTATGGGCTTATGATTTCAGAGTTGCTGGGAACTGATTTCCCAAGTTGTTCAACGGTACCAGGGGATCTTAATCCAGTGCATAATGAAGTTGACCTTCATAACGGACAGGTACTAACATTTGTTGCTAGATTCAGTTGTTAGTTCTGCAGATATGAAACTTATTTATGAATCCATTGTCCTGGTGGTTATTTGGTCTCAAAAACGTGTAAATGGATTACTTGAACTTATACAACTGCACATGCGCTTCTATTACATAATTGCCCATGTGGTGTTTTGTCCTTGGCTGCTTAATGGAAAAGCACTGCTAAGTGATTTAGCATACAGTATACAACTGATATTTCTGTTCTTTTACTTCTTGTTTCAGCCGGCTCTTGCTGACGATGATTCGATATACATGGCACTGGGAGAAATACCATTAAGTATGCCACCTTTTTAATCACTGGTTTGTTTTCTAATGAATCTCAAATACCTTATACCTGTCAAGTTCTGTTGGGATGGTGTTGGATTTTTATTGTGTGTGTTAGAACAGAACATGTATAAGTTTATGTGCTTTTAATTGTTACATGCCTTGTACCAACTACCTACAAGTTGGGACACAAATGTCCCGATATTTAATCAATTCTGACAGCATTTGGTCTGCTGAATCTTACAATGAGTCGAATAAGTAGTTTCTTTTATACACTTTTAAAACTGTTTCAGTACGGCGATGGTGGGTGAAAGTCTTGAGGGAGATTTTTCCTTTCCCTTCAACTGCTTATTTGTTTGAATGTGTTGCATGCACACTTGAGATTGGTGATACTTGATGTAAGAACATGTTTCTCTCCAAGAAAAAGCTGAATTAAAAAGCAAAAGGCTAGGGTGAGTTTTATTCTTTGCTTGTGGTAACGAATAGTCAGTAACATACGTTTGCTTTCATAGTCTTGTCTTCCATTTTGCAACATTCTGGAAGAGAACAAAATCTGATTGATTAGTCCAGGAAACTTCTTTCCGCAAAAATTTCGGTGACCTAAGAATCATTATGTGGTTTGGGAATTACAACTTGAAGGGTTATAACGCTATAAGAAAGGAAAGGAGAGGTTGCACTTGGTGCGATGGCAAGTGCCTTTGCCCATGAGCGGTAGGTCTCGGGTTCGAGACTTGGGAGCAGCCTCTCCATAAATGGGGGTAAGGCTAGCCGACATTCATCTCTCCCAGACCCTGCGTAAAGCGGGAGCCTTGTGCACTGGGTACGACCTTTTAGGTTCTGATTATATAATAACT